CCAATGTACCCAACATGTTTAGAGAGTATGACAGGTATACAGTACCTAGAGTCCAATGTGAGTAACTAGAGAATAGGAAGCATTGGACTCTGCAATACTGTCCGAAGTTTTGTAAACAAAGGTAAACAAAGCAGCCACAAAGGCGAAATAATAGAGAACACAATCAATAGTGAATGATAGAAGAATAGATAGAGAAAGGAATGAAAATATATAGGTAGCACAAAGGTGCAGAATCACCAAAACTAACATATATATGGCGGTGCTCTAACCAACTGAGCTACCAGCCCTTGTACTAATGTCAACTCATGATATGTGTTGTCTAAGAAGGCTAACAAACTTTGACCTTGACTATTCCAACAGGTAGTAATAGGTGCTCAAAGCTGCACATGTTGTAGAGTAAGACATTGCTTTGCTACATCTCTTTCTTGTTTTTTACATTTTTTTCCACTGTTTTTCATCCTTTCTGACTTTGTTTGTAGGTGCATTGTTCACAATGTCTTTACCTAAATAAATTTCTTGATCTGTCAAATTGTACCAGTAGCTACTTAAATTGTAATATGCTCTCACACAACCCAGTTTTTGCCTGCAGGGCCTTGCTATAAAACTTGGAGTCAGGGATGAAAAGGATTCTGAACTATACAAGTAAAGGAGTTTACTATGGCAATATCAGTATTATTCTATGGGTGTTTGTAGGTATGAATTCTTACCTCAGTCTGTGGATAGAAGACTGAGGTGCACAAGTGTCTGGAGAGTGAATATGTATGGTAGGTGGGAATAGGTTTGGTACTAATATGGAATGACTTTCTTGTGCGTGGTCAGGAAATTACCACAGTGAGACTTGACAAGCTAGGATCATATCAGTGTATGATTTACTCATTCACAACAGGGGACTGGTGCAAAGTGCCACTACAATTTATACTGAACATGGAAGACCACTGTGAAGGTGGACACACAAACAGAGGGGACAAACGGAATTGGAATCAGGATATGATAATGATAGCAAGGGGGAAAGGACTAGTCTAATGTACAATGTAGTGAACAACAGTATTATATAGTAAATGTAGGATAGTAGACATGGATATTTTTCCACAGTCATGACCTTCTAAGAGAGGCAGAAATAATGTGTTGCCTTGACCCTCTTGGAACAACAGGTGTTGTTTGGCGGAAGTCCCTCGAAAGACCATTGTAATGCCTCCAAATGGAAGCTGATTATCCAGGATGTCCCACAATGTATGATCCAATGCTTCAATTCCATGATGGTGTTGCATTGGTGCTTCATCCCAGACAATAACTCCGGTATGTCTCAATACCTTATGGAGGCCAGAGTTTTTGGGAATCCTGCATGTGAATATTTCATGTACAGGAATAGGGATTCCAAAGTGTGAATGAGCTATGCAGCCACCCTCCAAGAGCAGGGATGCAATCCCAGAGGATGCTACACATAGAGCAATATTATGATAATCTCTTGCTCAAACGGTGGCGGCGATTGTATTACAGAGATTTGTTTGTCCCCCTACCTTCAGCACTGTGAATAAAGCAAGTTGTTCCCCAATTATGATAAATTGACTGTATGTTGGTATCAAAAGCATTCCGCTGCTCTTGACTGAGCTGCTCCACATTATCTTTTGAGTAATAATAATACAGTTAAGTGATCAAATTTTACTGAGTCGGAAGTCAGTGAACTTGTGCTGTCTGTTCTTATAAGCGTGAGAATTATCAATGTGGCTACAATTTTCACTGCACTCGTTACCTACTGCTAACCGAAAACCACGCGAGCGAAACTAAGCAAAAAGAGTGCTCCCACGTGTGCCGTGCCGCACGCGACTTTTGAGACCAATGTCCCCTTCATTATAGAAGATTTCGTTATAGAAGAATAGATTCTTACTCATCGCATCATTTTCTCATGCACGGACACATACCCTACGATCGTATATCTCCATAGCTTACTGTGCTTTTATCAAATTCTAGCAGATTCTGGATCGCAAGGTCCAAAGGCTTTTCCAAACCATCCAACCAGCCCCTAAATCTGTCACGTCTCAGCTTTTTGTTTGACTCTTTCCGACAACCTAAAGACCCAGTTCATCTTCCTGTTGTGTACCGAGTCCAGTTCCCATCGCATCCAAAATTCGTCTATTCCTCTCTCTCCCTACCATCCCAACAGGTAAACATACAGGTTTCGCATTCCAACTTCAGGTTTTGATATCTGAATTTGCTCAGTCTCTAACTCATACTTACTCCCATATCTGTGACCCACGTGTTGTCACAAAGAGAAACAATCAGCCGCCGGCTGTCTTGTTGGTGAACAAAAAGATATCACGCTGACGGTCGGTCTACCGACATATCCATTGCTGCAAACGTCACTTTCTCTTCATCTCGAGTACGGCCCTTCATTTGGCCTCCTCATCGCCTCAAATCCCTGCCTTACCTAGTCCTCGTGTTGCACACGTTACGCGGACTGCGTTCAAGCACCATTGATATCTAGGAAGTATCAAGTTGTCGTAAACGCTCTAAGCATTTCAGTCCTTCCCTCAGCGTGCCCCACCCGCCCGCTGTCCGCCTCATTCACCTCTCAGTATCTATTTTTTCTCGAGATAGGTTATCTCTAACCGCTGAAGCTGTCCTTTTTCTTTACTTCAAATTCCCAAAATTCCGTAACTCAGGCTGAGGGTGCGTTCTTATCCGATCATCTTTTTATCCTATCATCTTTCCGATCTACTTCAAGATATCTGTCACGAAGCTGGTGTTAGAATCAAATTTGATAGGCCCATCATGAATTTTTATGGAAAGAACGAAGATGCTGTCGATTTCGGTGGTGAAATGGATTACTCCGGTCACCAATGGTTCCAAGAACCCCCGCCCAGACCAGAGGTACGATTGAGTATTTGCTGTCTTCTACTTCGCATTGATCTATTGATAAATGTAGCCTCAACCCGTCGCACCTCCCGTCGAACATTATGCTCCTGGATCCGATGTGATCGCTCGGAATGATGATTTCATTTTTGCACTCAGAGCAGCTACAAATGTCCTTTATGGTCGCTTCAAACAATATGGCCAAGTAAGTCTCCTGAAATTTTCTATCTTGAGCATGACTGTAATGAGGAAATTCAGCTGGGCGTATTAGCATGGTGTTCTGAATTTGGCGAAATGATCGACAGTCTCAAAGAATTGGGTTTCCAGGGTAACATGTTCATAACGACCCGGACACAAGCACTCAGAACGTGTGAAGAGATACTCAGGCTAAAGCTTGATATCAAGATGCAGATTATCTTAATGTATCTCTCATCACAAGTGGCGCGACTGCGTCGCTTCCTTGATGGTGAACGAATGTGGGATGACTATCCAGCGCCTGAATTTCCTCTTGACTATCGTACCTATGGTTCATGATTTATGACCTAGTTGCAAAGTTCTATTTGTGATATTTGCTCCTTATGGCATTTTCTTTCTAATCTTCTTGGTTGTTCTTATGATAGTAACGCCCATGTCTTGTATACCGGTGGTGGAAGGCGTAGGACTCACGGTTTAAAATGATCGACCTCGACTCCAACTTGATCTGATCTGATTGCCACTCAGACAATCGACAATGGACGCATCGACGACAGCACAAGACTGCGTGTATGTTGACATATATCACATAGTCTTTATGAATTCCTATTATCATTTTATTCTCCATGATCCTCATCTACCAAAAGTACTACCATATTCCATTTACATAATACCTTTTCTCATGCTTTTACCAAAATGACAGCCTCGTTCAAGGTCCGTTTCGAAGGGACCTCGCTTAAAGCGCTTAAGCCCCAGTCCAGCTTTCAGCTGGGCCACGTCATCTATCTTGAAAATAGCCGAAGAGCAGACCTGGAGATCACCGGACTGATATTATGGTATATTCTTCAAAAAATCGAATTAAACAACTCCGACTATAATCGGCGCTTCAACTTTACGTGCTGCAATGCTGGGTGCCACCCCGTCAGTTTGCCTTCACTCTTGTCCAAGTCATGGCACACTCTGACGACAAATACGACACTAGCGACTCTGACGATCCCAGCAATTTCATCACCACTGATACAACCTGTCAGACAGCATCAGAACACACCCTCCAGAAACAAGGTAATCCCCCTAGACCTGCCCAGATCAACTGAACCAATTCTTGTACAGATAGACTGGTTGAGTGGCTGGAAAAGCACCCTAAATGCAGATATGTCCTCTTTTCAGATTCTACTGCTTTTGTGAAAGAAGAGAACCAAGAAGTGTCAAAGACTACCAAGTACACAAAAGCTTCATTGCATCGAAGGATAGCAAGACATGTTTTTAAACATGACTCTAGTGACGACCTCCGTATTGCGGTTGATCATCTTCGCAAATGATTTGGCGAAGCAGTCCAAAATCGTCTTACAACTTAAGTACATATATTCTCTCTCCACGTATCTGCTCACGTCCTGTTAGCCTTAGCAAAACATACAAGGGACACTTGCGTGAATTAGGGTCGACTGGGAGCGGCCTTATATCAGGAGACCTGTCTGATGATCAATTCAATAGTCCCAATGGTATGTTTTTTTTGGTTTTATTTACAGGTTCTATGTACTGATTTGAAAAGAATGTGTTCGGGCAAAGTTCCGTTGGTGGGACAGCCTGAATGCATTCTGGAAGTCCTCTCCAAAGTATAATGCCAAACCGGTGACTGCTGCACACAGTCAAGATCTTGCTACTCAGGCCACAATAATCCTGTTCTCAATGAGAGGTGACAATGGGGCGATGGAACGTGGCATGAACCACCATCTTCAAGAAGGAGGGTGGGACATGATGAATGATGATTCAGGTTATGGGGTTGACGGTAATCAGGTGGCGGCAACATATAGTAGGGATAACTACCAGCAGCAGCAGCAACAGCACTACGATGTCCCTCAGCACGGGAGCATGTCTCAGCACATGTTTTCTAGGTCCAATCCGTCACTTTCTCATCTGCCGCCTATTCCCCAGCAGCCACAGCATGGTGGTAACATAGGCCCCTACATGTCCTCCCTTTATCACAATCCTCGAGGCACTGACCTGTCACTAGTCTCACCATCAACAGTAACGGTTCGGACAATCTGATTGGCTCTCGTCACGCTGTATCTTGTGTTTCATCCATGGTATCAATCCCATCTATTTCCGGCCACATGCGCCAACTGGAGCAACCACATGCACCGGTCCAATGCTCAACCATTGAGGCGAGTGCAGCTCCTTTGGGTCGTGGACAGTTGCCTATTCGGGGCCATTCACCTGCTCACAGTGGGCCCGTCATCACCCCTAGATCGTCAATTCCTACCTCAACTCGATCAAAGTGCACATGTGAGGCTGTTGAACCAGATGAGTCTGAGCCGAAGAAGAAACCTGAGCCGAAGCAAGTGAAGGGTAAGAAGAAAGAGTGAGTCAGACACTGAACACTTGAAGACATTAATGGAACCTGTTCTCAAGGAGGATAAAGATGAGAGGGTATCAGAGCGTACTCTGAAGCAGGCAAAATACATCCACAATATGGTTGTTGAGCAGGGTAAAAACATTATCACCGCAAAGGAAGCTGATGCTCAACATCAAGCCGGCCTCCTTCAGCCGGCCAAGTTGCAGATATTTTGTGAAGGGAATGCTCAGCATACTCAGATAACCCTACAAGAGAATGCCCAGCGTACTCAGCTTGCTGTTGAGGACATGCAATTAAAGCAGTCTGCCCATGAACTTGAAGCACTGAAGATTCAGTAGTTCTTTGAGGGACTGGAATCATATCTTGAGAAGTCCAATTGCATGTTCACAGCGTATATGAATGTGTGATAAATGGTAGTTAAATTGAGATTGCCTTGTAGTGAGGCTACAACCTGGTGGCTGCTTGAATGGTGCTACACACCAAGATGTGATAGGGTATGCAGAATCTGCCCAGATCCATTCATCTTCGTTCAGAAAGTCTTTATGCTTTTGTGATGTCAGAGTGTCTTGGAAGGCAGAGGAATCATGAGTGCTTCCTATATGCCCTAGACCATAATCTATGATCTTGAGATTATGGGGAAGAATAATAGCCTGGGGAAAGTTCAGATCACTTCCATAATTCAGAAGTAATATAAATCACCTGGCAATTCAAAGAGTAGTTGGATTTCCTATCAAAGAATGTCTCTCCAAAGTGGCTTGGTTTTTGGAAGAGAGGAATGTTTGTACCGTCAACTGCCAAACACCCATTTCTCCATTCTGCACAAACTTGATTCTCCACCCACGCTTTGGCAGAATCCTTCTCCTCTTGAGTAGGGTGACCAACAACCTCATCATGCAATGAGAGGATAGCAATCATACACCGATTGGTGCTATTCACCACTGTGCCAACAGAGAGACCTGCCCAGTCAGCAATATCAGCAGGTGTAAATCCATTTCCATAGTGGCCTAGACGGTTCAAAACATAGAGAGTTGATGTTCAATAGGAGTCTGCGGTGTATTAGAATTATTGTGGAATATTGGGTGGTCACAGATCCTAGCTAAAATACCGTCAAAAGTTTCTGATCGACATCAATTAATATGTTGGAAATGTGTTGGATTGTAAAGACGTGACCACTCCATAAGAGGGAATTGTGATAGACGAGGTGCTTGTGGGTATGTTGTAAATACTCTTGTATGTTGCACCTGGCATTGCAAACAGAGATATTATATTGTTAATATTTGTATTTGATGTGCCTTGGGATGTACAACTACTTCTGCCTGCTCGGCAGATGATGTACCTTCCATTTTTACAAGGTATTAATACCTACCATAATATATCTAGTCAGAGGGAGACTACTGACTTACCTGACATGGGAGAATCTGAACGGACAAGAGAAAGTGGACTGCTTGGTGGTGACCCATCACGTGACCCATCTTCAGAATGGTCGGTGATGGTGACTGGCCTGCGGATTAGCTGCCGAAGGAGATCCATAAATGTGGTGTTGGGTTCCTCAAGATGACACTAACAGATAGTGGGCTGGTGGCGAGACATGTTGGCATTTCAAGGTGCGTTTGGCTTGTTCATATATAGCTCACAACTCATGGTTATCATGTTCAGCTTCATGGTATACTCATTTTTTTGGTACAGCATTTCTATTTAATTTACACGTTTGCCGTCGGTTAAGTGTGGTCACCAAGATAACAGCTTTTGGTTACTTGCTTCCCCCCCTCCTAGAAACGGACCTTGAACGGGGCTATTCTAAGTAAGCTGTGAGGCGTGTGTAGAAACTATAGAAAAGGTAGTAATGTGGCGAGCATCTCCTTCTTCCCCGCTATCATATCATACTCTGTGATTGTTGTAGTTCCTTTATAAAAAATACTCTCTTGTTTTTCCTGTGCTCAATATCACATATACCTATCATCCTCAACAACCCAAACAACATTGTTCCACCCAACTTTCATGGTGATGAATATACAGAAGCAAGAGCGGAACTTACAAACAATTTAATAGACAATAGACAAGCAGCACTAATCTTGACTAACCTCTGGACTATCAACAACAACAAGGAGAAAATCTTGTGGGCACATATAGAAGAAGCAGAAAAGTTAACAGAAGGAGAGGCGCAAAACAATGCAGAGACTTGCCGCAGCTCAGCAGAAGCTAGCAGATGAGCAATAGACAGCGCATCTGGAAGAGTGGAAGAAGAACAAAACCAAATACACACTGGTAAAGGATGTAGACATCCCTTCTGAACCCACCATAATTCCCGCACACTACACCACACGCAAAATGAAAGCAGGCAAGTCTTGCAAACTCCACTACTTCACAAATAGAGGACTGGAAGATGCATCCTGCACAATACTGTCATCAGACCCAGAAGCGCTAATCATGATGCCAGGTTCTCATAAGTTACATACCTGGATACTGACTGGCACGGTCAAAGACCCAAAGACTGCAATATTGAAGGATGAGAACTTATCCTGGGAACAGTTTAACAAAGCCACCTTGAGAATGGTATCATCCATGCAACAATGCAAATAGCCAAATGACTGTGTAGGCATGCACATAAAATTCTGGTCTGGACTCCAAAATCACATATGGAGATTCTCCTTCGACACACTACAGCAAAAAGCACTGCTACTGTACCAATCCCAACAAAGACAGGGATGGCACCTCACAGTAGGATCTTCTCAGGGATGGAGTTTAGGTCTAGCTCAAATCAACAAGCAACTCCTCCTAGCAGCCAGAGAAGAGCTTTTCAACAAGCATTGGGCTTTAATCGTAGTGTTGGCAACATAGGTGCGTAGCTAACTTATTAAAAATTACAAAGCTTTATACATACTGGCCAATTGCGTGCCTAACCCCTTCCCGGCCATCATGTGCCCGCCATTCCCTCTGCACACAGATGCATCAAGAACAACCATACAGGTTGTGAGAGGCCTCAGACGGGCATCACAACCCAAGGCCCTCCAGCTCATCAGCATACAACCCCCCTCATGCCACATTCCAAGCAACTTGACATGGCGGACAAGGCCAGGAGAGATCACCCTCTCCTATGCACACAAATCCGTCAAACACCTACCAGCACAGGCAATGTCCCTTTTGGAGCAACCCCAAAGTGCTTATCCTTCCCTGCTGTGCCGTGTGCCTCAGACGTCACCCCCACCGCACCAGTGACTGCTCCACCATCCGCACATGGAACGGGAAGCACAACACCTTTGCAGAATGCATCAACAAGGCTCTATGGGCTAGAGATGGACACCAGATATGCGCCACATAGCAATGAGGCAAGAGCTGCTCCGCTCCAGGACATGACCACAAACATATGTGCGCAAGATGTGGTGCCACCACACACGGAGCTCAAACATGCCCTCAAGCTCAGAAGGCAGACACCTTGAACTCTGTACAGAGCAATCAAATGGGAGAAGGAGCTGAAAGAGGCAGTGATTCTTGATAGACTCATCAAGATACCCCAAGGCATACATTTAGGTTTTATATTGAATTTTCCACAGATATCTCATGTACAGACTCCACCAAATAAACATCCTATTCAAGTTTACGAGCAGCATTTTGTTGAAATAATACAATAAGAAATACCATATTTTCTTCCAAATCAAGTGTTCTCATTTGGAACACTACAATAGGGCACACATCACCTGGCATCAAAAGATTGCCAAAACAGGCTTACGCCAATCAGGCAACAGAATCTGGTTCAGAGGACATACCATCAATAACCAGTTGATAGAGGAATTTAATGAAGACTGTCCGAGACCAATCAAGGATCTATCGGAATCCACTAATCAATCAGAACACGACTCCCTGTTTTTCTACTGCATGCAAGACGTTTATCAGTCTCACACAGGCTCGGAATCCCTTGGGAAACTTCCAAGACCAACCATTCAGTTCATCCACAATCTATATTGGTCTACTGTGGGACCTCACTAGCCGGACAGTATCATTCAGCCCAGAAAAAGCATGGAAATACTTACTAGTAATTCACCAATGGAGAAAACAAGCAATGCATGTTCTACATAACGTACAAGGGCTGTACGGTAAGTTATTACATGCCTCTTTAGCACTTTTTATGGGAAGAGCCTATCTGACAGTCCTGGAAAGCATGTTGAGTACATGCTCAAACAAGCCAACCATGTTACACCATTCAGACAAATTTTGATTGAGCAAAATTTAAACTGGTGGTCAATCAAACTCCAGACAGGAGCAGTATCCTGCCCAATATGACCCTCCTCCTTGTTCTCAGACCTCCAAGCCTTCTCCAATGTAAGTTCAGGAATAGGAATCACTATCACTGCCGGAAGTAATTGGAGAGCCTGGTGTCTAATCCCAGGTTGGAAAGAACTTGATGGAAAACATGACATTGGCTGGGTGGAAGCTTTGGTTTTGAATTCCTTACCCACACTCTTGCTGCTAACTCTCACTCTAGCGACGCAGTCATTGCGTACAGCAACAACACAGGAGTTGTGGAAAGTTGGACAAACAGCTGCCACAGAAACTAACAGGTCAACACCGTATTCAAGCGGATCCATAATTTCATAGCCTTCCCTACCCTGTCAAGATTTATACTGAATATATACGTAGTGCCAATAACCCAGCAGGCAACCCTTCGTGAGGGATATATGGACCTCAACACCTCCTTCTCACACCCATTCTCCCACATCTCCAGCCACTCCTCATTGACGCTAACTGCAAAAGGGCCTGTGGCCTTATTATCCTTTGCAGTCCTACCTATGCTGAAAGGCTTGAAGGCATGAAACAGTTGCATAAGCAACACTGCCTTGGATCCCGGGGACAAATGTCCTTGTTTTCCACTTTAGTGGAGTAAGGCTGCATGATGAAATGGCAAACATTTGCCATTTTAGCACTGCATACTCACTGCTGCAAGCATGTAGGATTTGAATGCATAGACTAAGGTCTTAGTGTGCATGCATTGAGTGGTGTAGCATGTCAGACTGCAAGACAACTACAGCCTGCTGGCATAGATTCCTTCTTGGGCAACTAGTCCTTTTCCAGCAGGTCTGGTGTAAGGTATTAACCTGATTAGTCATACCTTACTTCTCAGTCAAGTATATAGAACTACATAGTTTTAAGCCACATAGGTATTTAGTCCAAGTTTGTGATTAGATTAGGACAATCTAATCACAAACTCTTACATATCATTGAATATAACCCAGGTTAAATTCAGTACTGTGTGAGTAAGTGAGTGAATTACCATTCAGAAGTGAAACACTCTCATATTTACATCCTGGAATTATATATTACAATAGGCACTCCAGCACCTACTTTATGCTTTACTTTTACTGAACTTTTACTTTTCATTTTCCAAGTCATGTGACTGATCACAAGATGATTTATTTTACTTTACTTTTTGGGCTTTTCATAGTCACATGACCAATCATGACTGACCAGTGTCTAGACTCAACATGTAACTAGTCACATGACTGTAATCAGAACAAATGAGGGGAAATAGATTAAATAGTAAAGTGGGTATATGAGGAGGAAACAATGCTGTCATGTGTAAGTTTGAATACCACTTTGTATTGTAAATTCTAAGCCTATGATCCAACATATTGTAACACCAAGAGTTAGTTACTCTGGCGCACACAAGAACACACTATAAAGGTAGTGAATGGGGGAGTGGTTGCCCCTTAGGCTGCAGAGAGTTTGTTGGTTAACAACAGGAGGACTTGCTGAGGAGTCTCCTTGGTCTATTGGGGTATTTATACTAATACAGAGTGTTTGTACTTATGTACTGTATAGTTAATAAAAGCAGTGGCTGATGATGTCAGAGGGCGCAGCCCGCGTGACCAGCTCCACTGCGTGAGAGAGTTTGTGTCTAAAAGAAGAATAAGGCAGCGCTGCGCAAGAAGGTGGAGTTAGAACGAAAAAGGAAAGTGCCGCATGGCACGGAGTGTGAACTACAGTAAAAGCGGAGAATGAAAATTAAAGGAAAGGTCCGAAAATTATGTTATTGTAACACATATAGTACCTCATATATTGTAGTATATACTGGAGCAATACACAGGGAAGGACTCAGCGAGTCCTCTTCTAGTGTATACCAACATTAGTATGACAACCACCCTCTCTTGATGAGCTGTACCACTATTCTTTTGAGTCGTAGCCTCTATGGTTGTGCTCCAGTGCCTCAAGATAGAATCTTGTTGGTGTTGTCACATTATACCCACCCACCCACCCTACACTCTCTGAGTATAAATCTGCATTTGCAGATGTTGCTTTCATCTATTACTAATTTATGACAATATATGCCCTGTTATAATATGTCTCTTCCATACCTTTTCTTTTCAATGGGGAGGAGGTGCAGGCTTGGAATTCAACTTAATGGGGGTGTATAGGGAGGTACTGTAAGGTATGATTTATATTAGATAATCATACCATACTGATAAGACAACTGATAATATACAGTTACCAGCAGATAAGTCTGAGTTTGTGAGTAGATAAGATAATCTAATCACAATTCCTTTTACATATCATAGAATATAACCAAGGTTAAATTTATTACTGCGCAAATTGAGTAAGTGTGTGATAATCAAGAGTGAATTCATATCCCCAGCATTGAGACACTCATAAGCTTCAATAGAAAGTTTTACAGGTACTCACTACCCCAGAGAACTATCAATGGATAGGCATAGGCCTAGAGGCTGACTTGTAGGTAATGAGTGAGAGGGTGGGCAAAAGCAAGAGAGACAAGAGAGAAGGGCCATTTTTTTAAATTTATTCTCTTTCTGACATTTACTGACAATTCTGAATGTATTTTGACAATTTTTACAGTTATTTTTCAGTACCTTCTCCTTATTCTTTTTCTTCAGAGGAGGATGTAAGGGGTGGCACCCTTTCCTAGTTCTTATATAATACTTACAGCCACACCTCTGCTTTTCTAGTGCTATATAATAACCTTATCTATACAATCATCTTTAATCACTCCTCCTACATTGCATACCTTTGTACTGCTATTTCGGCAATAGGCAGAGGTTTTGTGCACTTATGGTCTGGTCTGAGGTGAAAACTTTACATAGCCCCAATCTGACTATGGTATTACATATATTTATCGTGATGGCGATATCAAACTTGCAAATCCTGTAAAAATTGTACATATCAGCCTCTGTTACTTCACTTTGTTAACCAGTTTTTTTTAGCTGTTTATCCCAAAGTTAAATCCTACAAACCTCCAAATGCTTTCTGGCCAGCTTCAAGGGATTATTCAGGCCATTTTTAACAGGGTGATTGACATTGAGACGCAACTCAAACACGTGCAACTTATACAGGCCTTGAAGAAGAGCAGGGGAAGCAATGAGGAAGAAGATAATGAGGAAGAAGATAATGAGGAAAAAGATAATGAGGAAGAAGATGGTGAAGATGAGGATAAAGAAGATGAGGATAACAGTGACAATGGCAATGGTTGCAAAGGGGGATTCTAGTGGAAGTATGGGGGTGATTGTCAAACCTTGTCAACATGTTTTGGTTGATCCTGCGTTAGATGCGGACTGGGACCTTTTCCTGGATGGAATGTGGGATGCTGTGGTCCAGACTGCATATGATCATTATGACCACTTTGTCAATAACCCTGTTGTGCAAGATAAACTCCCAGCCAAGAAGGCCAGATTTCATGCTGGAAAATAATGTATGCGATATTGGGGTTTGGCTTTCACATTACTTTGTTTTTACCTTCACCTTTGCAACTTTTTATGCATCTATCATAAAGTATGTTGAACTACGTTGCTGAAATTATGGACATTGTTGTACTTTTTTCAAGTTGAATTATGATTTATGTTGAGCTTCTGAAAGCATTTCTGAGGTTATTATACCCAAATGCTTTGCCTAATTCAGATATGTGTTCAGCTGATTTTGTGTTTTGTCGGTCAAAGCTAATAGATAATCAGGTTAATAACAAGGTGATTCTGTTCCCCGAAGATATATATTCACATATTCACCGAACTTCAAGGTTATATAGACATGTCCTTCACAAAATCACTAACAAATTTGCAGTATCTCTCTGCCCACTCGGAAAGGTTGTTTTCAGCCTGTGGAAAAGGTCTTGAGCACACAACAAGGAGTTATGGCTCATTTGTCTATGTCAAAGAGCTGTTGATGGTACAAAAAGGGTAATAAAAAAAAGGAAATTAGAAGCTGACAGAAACCCACCAGATGAACTTGTGTATGAAGACCCTGCTCAATCAGATGAATGAAACATAGAATATGATGAAGATCTGGTGGCCAATCTTGATATTATCACCAAGGAATTCCATGATCACTACTTTAGATTCATTCCAGACTTGCAATCATCTCACACGTATGAAAATACTGTTATAGTAGATGGCAAACCTTAGGCTGGCCTATCATTGCACAGAAACCACTTACCATTTGATGAGATGGACAATAAAGATGATGATAGAATGGTGGAAGTAAATGAGAGGGCAGGGAGGATAACAAGGATGGACATGGATATCCACCAGAAATGGAGGGATCTATATGGTCATAATAACACAGATTATGCAGATGCAATGACTGTTGACACCCCTCCAAATAAATGGGAACCATTCAAGCATGAGCTGGACTGGAAATTTGCACAGTGGGCTGTGAGAGAAGGTATTGGAAAGAATTCACTAGATAGGCTGTTAGATATACCTGGAGCTTGTGCTCTATCCTATTTCTCTAGTTAAAACTTCTGATGTTATATTGGTAGTTCACGGACAAATTAGGATTATCATATCACAATACTCGTGGTTTATTCAAGGTCATAGACAAAGAAATTCCTGAAAGAACAACTTGGCACACAAGATATCTATATTTCCATGATTGACCTAATAAAAAACATTTGATTTAATATCAAAACCCCCTTGATGCCATATCCACTTTACTTGGAAATCCTTCACATGCCAAGGATATCGTTTACAAGCCCAAGAAGATTTTCACGGATGCAAGCAAGGAGGAGAGGCATTATAATGAGATGTGGATGATAAAATGGTGGCATTCTGTACAGGTTTGTTAAAATTTCATTTATATGATTCTGTCCAAGTTCCTGATTCAGTCCACAAACTTCAGGCACTCCTTCCAGATAGCGCATCAGTGGCCCTGTTATTATTGCAACAGACAAAACTCAATTAACACAATTCTCAGGTGACAAAAGTGCATACCCTGTATATCTTACTTTAGGCAATATACTCAAGGCCATCAGATGCAAACCATCTCAGCATGCCTGTATATGGATAGGCTATCTCTTTGTCACTAAGCTTTCTAAGGAGGGTCTGACTGCCACAGAGAATCTATACAAACTCAAAGGTTATTTCACTCATCTATATGTATGATCCTGGAGCCTCTTATTAAGGCAGGAAAAGAGGGGACCAAGATAACAGGTGGAGATAGAGCTATTAGAAGGGTCCATCCTGTTCTAGCTTGCTACGTGGCTGATTATCCTGAACAATGCCTTGTTTCTTGCTCAAAGTACGGGACATATCCCAAATACCATTATATGGCAGATAATTTGGAGAACAGAGAGCCTGGAGATGAAAAGACACCTATTAGAACCCAGGATGCCATTTGTACAGCCATGGTAGCAAATTCAGTATTGTTGTCCTATAAGGCATGCATGGAGAAGGGCATATCCTGTGTTGAGCACCCTTTCTGGGAAGGCTTTCCTTACACCAATATCCATTGTTCTATGACACCAAATATTCTGCATCAGCTCTACCAAGAGGTTGCTAAATGTATCATAAAATGGTGCCAAGAACTCTTCAGAGCTGAAGAATTAGATCAAAAAATTCATTGCCTCCCGCCCTCCTATGACACTCAAAATTTCAAAAACAGAATATCTTCATTATCTTAAATATCAGGCAGTGAGTGTAAAGACATGAAAAAAATTCTTTGGGGCCGCCTTGTTGGCAAATTACTCAAGCAAGCAATAATCTCTATCAGATTACTCCTGGACATCATATATATAGCTCAATATCCCACTCAGTGACACTACTCTGGGATATCTCTCAAAAGCTATTGCAATGTTCCATCAGAAGAAGTCTATCTTTGTATTATTGGGAGTCAGAGAAAACTTCAACATCCCTAAGATTCACTCTCTTCTACATTAGGTTAACTCAATCAGGTGTTTTAGGACCATTGACAACTACAACACTGAAATGTTTGAACATTTTTATATTGACATAGCCAAAGATGCTTGGAGAGCATCTAATCATAGGAATGAGCATCCTCAAATGATTGCATGGCTCACAAGACAAGAAAAAGTGGCGTCTTTTGAAAGCTATCAAAAATCTCTACTATTATCTACCCCACATACCAATACCCTCAAAACATGCTCTGGATTAGGCATTCAATTGATAAAATTACCATCTTATCCTCTTCAGCTGCTTCTGTCAATTCAACAAAAAATATAAATGTCCAGGCTTTAAACGTGGTTTGAAAAAATTCCTCAATCAACATCAAAAAGGGCATCCCAGTCATTTATCCAAAAATCAAATCTCATTATTCTCCCTACCTTTTAATGCACTAAACAATTTTATAACCTCAAGCTCACCCCTGTTCAAGTAGGTGATGATGCTGCTGATATAAAGCATGAAGTGATTAAAGCCAGACCTGGTAACAATACTGTCAAGGCTCAATTTAACACTGTATTAGTATCGGAGTCCTTGAGTGCAGAGTAAACTGGGGTTACAGGTGAGTATAATATATCTTGATCTAGTTCTATGTGTTTCATAATTTTCACGTATCAGGAACTAGAGTTGGAATATTGAAAGTCATATTCAAACTTCCTACTCATATTCACACCGGAGCATTTCCAGCTTCCAATGCTTGGCCAAAAGTTCCTCTGGCTTATATTGAATAGTATACTAAATTTAAGCCTACAGCTGAACCAAGTCATATGTTGTATGTGGTTTCAAAGCCTAGCACAAGGTCAGATAGTACACCAGTAAGCACTATAGTTCCTCTCACCAGTTTACAACAAGGATGTCAGCTTATTCCTATATTTGGAAAGGATGTGGTACCTGACGATTGGGAGTCTAGTAATGTTTTGGATGTTTGTGATAGGTTTCTACTAAACAATTAGTCTGGTTTGTACCCTTATCAGACTATGTGGTAGAAGCACATTTAATTTATGCCTCCATTTGATTACCTACTGTCATAACATTGATAAAGCTCCAACAAATAATTGATTTGGTTTGTATCCTTACCAGGTTACATGGGTAAAAGGTGCATTTGATATAGCTGGTGCTATAGTTACATATAATATTTCAAAGCCCAGATGATGCTGTTATATTTGGTATAGCAACCTGCCTAGCTATATAGCTGTATGGTTTTTCCTGATGTATACAAAAAGCCATGTTTGACATTTATAGATCACTTTGTATAAAGCAAACAGAAAATCCAATTTTTTCTGGTGAATCAACCAAGTTTTCTTTTTTGGCTGAAAACAACAAAAACAGGAGGTTGTAATGGCAAGCTAACAGTGAGCCCAGCTTGTCTTGGGTTTTGTCCCTGCCGTATATTTCCTTATTTTACCCTCTGATTGCCAACAAAAATACAGTACAGGGTGGGAACAAGCCTACTAAATTACTATCCAGAAAATAGAGGGTCCAGGACTATGCAGAGGGTGATTTCTTGTAAAGCAATTGTAATCAGAGAAATTCAGAATAAAGTAAAAGATATGCCACAAAAGTTTACAGTAGGTTGCATATCAATAGACCAATTTTATTTTTCATTTTCATTGTCTCTGTTTATCATTGGAGCTTGATAAATGTCAACTTTCATGTTTCATGCAGTTTCTTTTCAACCAGTATAATTTAATATGTTTATTAACACCCCAAGAGTAAACAATGGCAGAAAGAATGGAAAATGAAGATTGGTCTATCAATATGCAACCTGCTGTACAGCAGTAGATACAGCCATACACCCGGGCTCCTCCCCATTCACTGTTTCAAGGTTCAGAATATATCATATAGAATAGAGACAGTTGATTATCCTGGCATTGTAAAAATGCACATGCTGAAAAAAGTTTGAAAGTGAGCTGGACTTTGATTCTGAGCCCCCCCACAGCAGCTGGACTTTGACATTTTTAAAGTAAGCCAGCCAGTGACCAGTGACCTTCAAATGATGACTGAATTTAAAAATATAGTGTGGGTGTCGGTTGGTTATGGTTAAAATCTCAATTTCCTCTAAGCATTGACATCCTCATTTTCATTCTCTGTTATAGATAGGTAGTAGATAGGCTCAAGTATTATTATCAATTTTGAGGTTTAAGTCTTGCTGCGTTGCATTTTGATGCAATGAATGTCTTTTATCACAGCAACAAAAAGGAGAATATTGTGCTAATAGTCCATGCTTTGCAAAAAAAAAACAGTCTCAACAATTAGCAGCTATGGTCCATAGCAAAATCCCAATTTCACTGTAATCATTGCCAACACCCAATGGTATCAGCACTGCTGTTTTGCTCCCAGTCCCACCCCCGGCAGTTTGGCACATACTAAGATTAAAGAGCCAGACACTTTCAATGGCTCCAATCCCAGGAAGCTTCACTCCTTCATTTTGCAGTGTCAACTGAACTTTAATGACCATCTGGGCACATTCCGTACTGACCGGGCTAAAATCTTCCCATCTGGATGGACAATTACTCAAAGTTTCTCTCTGAACTCTGCTCCAATTTTAGGCCTCACAACCCCACCAGAGATGCAGAGTGCCAGATCAAACACCTCCAGATGTGCAAGAATCAATGTCTAAACAAGTACATGGTCAAATTCAACCATTTTGCCTCCCAAATCCAAGGGTGGGGCAAAGGTGCACTCTGTGATCAGTTCCACAAAGGACTCCCTTTGAGGATTAAGAACAAAATCACCCACATTAGAAAGCTGGATTCTCTTGCAGAGTTACAAATCCTTGCCCAAACCATTGACTCTTGCTACTGGGAACAACACAGCAAAGTCAGCAGGGAAACTACTACCTAGCCCAAGTCCTTGTCCAACACCAGTACTGTGTCCTCCTTGTCTTCCGCAAAACCTGCACTCTGTGGAAGCTCTTTTTCCCATTCCCACTCTCATCACCCACCCACTCTGAGAACACCAGACTTGTTTAACAAACTTGGAAAGGATGGTAAACTCACTCTGGATCTTGCCCTAAGTTCTCCTCCAGCACCACAAAAGCTTATGCCACTGCAGCAGTTCTGGAAAACAAAGTGGACACCACTGAGGCAGAAAAATTGTCAGTAGTCCTCTATGCTCCATATGGGTTGAGGACTGCATTGATCCTGACCGTGCATTAATGGGAATATGTCTCAATGTGTATGCTCTTTCTGATACAGATTCTCTCATCAGGAAAAATGGGGGTAGCTATATAGAGCTCTATAGCACTATAAGTACTTATAAAGCTGTTATAGTGGTCAAACCTGTTATAGAACCCCTGCCATCTATAGAGCCTCATATGGCTCTATAAATGCTCTTATAGATGTTGGAAATTGTTGTGTGGCTGATTGAAAAAAATTAACACAGACAGGAGTTAAACTCTCAACCTGCTAGTCAGCTCTTGGGTGACTAAGCAACCTACAGCCACACATCACATTTATCCACTTACACCATAAAAGCTTATAAAATGTATTATACAGGTGTTATATATTGACCTTTCATAGACTTAGATTATTTTTTTACTCATTGTCACTACTTATATTTGGATAAATCATTATTCTTATTTTGTGAGTATCAGGGATACAAACTACTATTTCACTAATACAGGCTACATAATTAATTAATACTGGATGATTTATTAGCCCTTTTAAGCACCTTGAACTATATTATAACTATGACCTTTACAGCTATAGGAGCTATGTAGGCTGCTATAGGCTATAAGAGCATTTATAGTATCTTGCCTATAATAATATACTTGACTCCAAACACTTTTGGCCTCTTTCTATTATTGAACAAGTTTATTAGATTAATCCAGAGTTTGAGGGAATTATAGATACTTCTCCCCTTGGTTAAAATTTTGCCTACTACTGTGCTATAAAAGCTATAAGAGCTATGATTGCACTGATAGTACTATAGTTTCTATGAATGTGTTTATATATATAGGTGGTGGCTATATAGCACTATATAACAAAAGGGTTTTTCCTGATGCTCTATGTATCACTTACCTCCAAATATCTTCTAAACACTCTTTTTACAGTTCTAGTAGACTCTGGATTGTCACATTCGTTTGTGAACACCACCTTCATGAATTCTAGTCAACTTTCTCCCTATAGCATTGCTCCATTCAGACTCCACTTATTTGATGGAACATCCAACTCTCTCATCACCAAGGCAGTAGACTTACCTGTCCATTTGCCCTGCGGAAAAGTTACTTTAACAATGTTTTATATCACCTTGTTGGATCTGTCATGCTCTGCAGTTCTGGGATACCCCACTACAATCCATTAATTGACTGGGTACTGAACAATATTTTATTCCATACTCCGGAGACTTCAAATGCCCAACCAACATCAACTCCAATCTCCGACCCCATGTCTCCGGACATATCTCTTGTAAACACAGTCACCTTCCACCAGGCTTTTGAACTCGAAGGATCCACCCAATTCACTATGCACTTATCCCAACTCTGGGCCTCCTTTGTCACTTCAGTCATCCTCTAAACATAAGCTATTAGCCTTAACTATCTGTGTAAACCTATGAGGCTAAAAGGCTATTTTTTTGGGGATTATCCCAAGTAGTTCATTGAATCTGGGACCATCCCAAAAGTGGGCTGATCCCATATTTTGGGATGATCCCACATATTGAATCACATATTATTCTAATCAAATACCTCTGGGGCATATGTACAGGTGTTAGCTTATGGTAAACATCATATGGGGGAATCATGTTCCTGCTTCCCAATGTATTCCTACAGAGAAATCCAGCCCAGAAAAGTTTATATAAATAGGATGTTTCAAACACACCACATTGAAACTGTAGTTGAAAGATTTTTTGTACTGAACAAAGACAACCATAGGAGTCCTGTTGGCAAGAATATGAGATACCGAGTTGCTTGGGGCAATAGAAACATCTCTATGACTGATTTAAAAAGGTACCATTAGTAGAAATAGAAAGGAAACAAACAAAAGAAAAAATGTACAGCTAAGCCTGGCTATTCTCCTCCTTCATCAACTCAATAATTGCCAAAAGGTGCTCAATCAACCGCAGATGAGTGTGCTTACATTCAACAAGCTTCTTGTTCTCAAAAACAATGGCCTGTTTATCTAATAAAAGTTTCACCTTCTCCTGTATGCAGGCCTCCTGCCCCTTGACTAAGTTGCATATATCGTTTACCAGGGCCTCTTTTTTGCCTGAGATGTTTTGCTGGATCTGATTTAGTTGAGCAAGTTTGGCAGCTACAGTCTGGTAGTTTTGAAAAAGCTGGGTGACATAAGGATTTTTGAGAAGTTCAGAAAGCAGTAGATGTTTGATGGATATGGATATGCTGAATCCTGCAGCAGAAGGAAGCAACAGAGGCAATATGTCTGTAAAATGAGGAGTAGCTGTAGGTGCGAAGGGATTAGTTTTCCCACTGTCAAAATTATAAGAATTGGAGTCTGGATTTGACGACAAATTGCTCGTCATTGTCTGCAGAAAAAGTGAGATGAATGTGTGTACAAGTTGTGGCTAAGACTTATAGCAACATCCAGCCAGTTCCTAAAATGGCACTAATTGTACATCTAGATCAATATCAATCAAATCAAACATGCAGTGAGTTGATCACAATCAGATCAGCTCACTGCATGTTTGATCTGATACCACCATGTCAATATGTTATTTTTCTCTTTGCTATCCTTCTCAAAAACTCACTGTAAAAACGGCTAGAAAACACTTACACTGGCAGAGTGATATTGATCTATTGAATATAGGAAATCATAGTCAGGAATTTGCTACACACTTACATGAGTGTATCTATGCAAATACAAGCCAATTGCACAAGTACAAGGCTACAGGTGACTAGATTTTGTCTATTTCCTTTTATTTAGCTCATATATTACTCATATATTCTAAGTTTCACTAGAATCTGTACAAGGCCATGTAGATTGGAGTATATATGAAGATATTTGATGTCAAAGTGAATATTCCTGGCAGTCAAGATGCCTCTGAAACTGATGCTATATATGTAGGAAATAGTTGTGATGATGTTGGAATTACTGGTCCAGCCATAGATTCTGATTCTAACTCAGAAATTGATGATGGGGACTTGTTACATTTTCCTGGGGACCAAATTGGCGGTAATCCTGATGATGTCAGTTCTTCAGGAGTTGAAGAAGATAGTGTTATGATACACAAATGTTCGGACCTTTAACTTTCATTTTCAGTTTTCACACACTGTGCCATGGAGCGCTTTCCTTTTTGTTCAAACTCCACTTTCTCGTGCTGTGCTGCTTTCTTTATTTTTAGATACAGAGTCTCTCACACAGTGGAGCTGGTCACACGGGCTGCACCCTATGACATCATCAGCCACTGCTTTCATCAACTGTATAGTACATAAGTACAAACACCCTGTATTAATATATAAACCCCAATAGATCCAGGAGACTCCCCAGCAAGTCCTCCTGTTGCATACCCACAACTAACTCAGTCCTATCCTAAGGGTTTACCCACTCCCACCTTCCTCACTCTTGCCTGTCTGAGTTGTGAGCCACAGTACTAAAACTTTGGTTGTTACAATATTATAGTCACAATGTTGTATGTTGAGTGTTCATTGACAATTTGATATAACATTGTAATGGTCTTGCATGTTGTTACCAGTATAGTGCCTTTCTGATACTTTGTGATCAACCTCGATAGCCACTGTTAAGCCACATCAAATAGCAACTGTTTTGGTGTCTGTGTGTCAACTCTGCCTGGGATACAAGCTTCTCCCCGTTTTCCTGATGTATGATGGCCAAAATAACATCTATAATGAACATTATATATATGAATCATGACTTTAGCGTGAGTCAAATTTAGAGGTGTAGAGAATAGATCGTGGTTTGGCTTTGTTTACTGATTCGAGGTTAAGACTTCAAGCTTCAAGTGGCGTGCAGAACTTGAATCCTTAGCCCACTTTTACCTAGGCCTATACTTTTCTTTTACCTCGAAGTTTCACTCATTTTCAATAGAAAATTCGACGTGTTCTGTACTAGAGCCTGAAGTGCATTGCAGTAGAGCTCAATGCAACAGACAAATCTCGAACATGAAAGAACTCGCAACTTTTCTTCGTTACCCGAAGGAGCCCAGTTATCCCAAATACCCAGTGCTGGCCCCACATACTTAGATGGTGAAATCGACGTCGGTCTTCCACGTCACCATCTTCTATCACTTCAAAACTGCTCACCTGAAATCCTGTATATTCCAGATTCACATATTCCGGACCCCCATCGCTTATCTTCCACTCCGCCTGGTCTCTCTTCCGCAGGCTCCTCTTCTACATCTAATCGATCATCTGCTTACAATAGTTCTGGAAGTGCATTGAACTCCAATGACTATGATCGTGTTCACATGATGTCTGGAGTAGAGGGGGAGATTGGTATTGCTGTAGGGATTGCGTCAGGAGACGTGTCTCATATATTCGCCGAAGGAAGCGCCCGCTCATCGTCTACTGGACGAGTACCGATCGAACATACTCGTTGGTCAGAGTATTCAACTAGCATAAGGTCGAGGTCTTCATCAGTCGGGTATAGTAATGTGAGCAGTCTACTCGAATCTTCGAAATCACGCGAAAACTCTAGCTTTGATCTGGAATGGAAGACAGTCGACGAGAAAGATGAGGCTGAATTGATGACCAGTGATGAGGCTGATCGCATAAACGACACCGAAGATAGCGATGCCGACAGTGGCAATGAACCCACATCCGCTGTTATGATCGCGGAACAAGGCCGGGGTCTCATTCTCAAGGCTGATGGAACACCTATCGTCCAGCTCAGTGTAGAACCAGGTGCGCTTCAAGCGGCCAATCTGGTGGACCTAACGTCTTACTATTCAATATTCTGCTTTCGGAATGAAATATTTTAGGCACTACACATCTGTTGATTGGATCTTCAAGTACTCCCAATGCATTACCTTCATTTCTTACTGTTTCACTACCACAAATTTGCAACACGCTTTTGGCTTTGGATATCTCTGCAAACTTCCTCGTTGCATTGCCACCCGCTTTGGCTTCATGCAGACTTCTAGAAGAAATTAATATATCTTCAAATCCCCTGCGCGTATTACCTGTATTCCTCAATCAGCTCTTCTCACTTCGCGTTCTCATCGCTGATTCAACGGGAATCAACAGTCTCCCAATCTCCTTATGCGAGCTTGATAAGCTACATACACTAAGTATGAGAAGGAACAAAATGCTATCCCTCCCTAGTTGGCTTTGTCTGTTGCCCTCTTTGCAAGCTCTATATCTTGATGGCAATCCTTTTCGTGGGCCCTGGCAAGCCCTCGTCGAGCCATTAATAATACAAACACCCACTTGTCCTACGTCACCATCATTGCAGTGCTCATGGCCTGTGGATAAAACGATCTCGAAGGGTTCATCCATCGGGTCTGATTCGGAGGAGTTAGAGTCGTCCTGCGTTGACTACGAGTCCTCTATTACCATCTTCCCGCAAGGGGAAGATTCTTCTCGGCCACCTCCAAATCTGCCATTGGAAGGTTCAACGACAAATACCTCGATCCATGTCGAACCGCAGACTCCCGCACGTCGTTTGGTTCGTACTCGTACTGCTCCTAATAGGGCTTTCTCCGGCAAAGCACGACAGACGAATTCACAGGAGGTTGGTTGCCTTCAAGATTACGAGCTGCGCAAAATGAAGAGTACTGGAGAGCTGAAGCCCAGCTGTGAAGGTTATCTTGAGCCTTTGACACTTTCCCCATCGCTATTGGTCGCGCAGTCCACTACATCGGTTTCCAGTTCAAATATGCTTAGCATGGCTAACCTTCGTCCCCGTGTGGATCGTCCAGCCGTTCCCAAGCGCTTCGCCAGTTTAGGTGTTTATTCAGGCTTTGAGGCAGATAGCACTAGGTCCCCAGTCCCTCAGCGACCCGGCTACGATGATGAGGACAACACGGATAAGTGCGTTTTGTATTTAATTGAGATTTCTGTTGTTGAACGAGGTACTGTTTTTTCTAGTGCCATTATAATAGAGTCTCCGTCAAATATTTCTGTCCCACAAGAATGGGAGAGAGGCCTGGCATATACGCATGGCAAGCAAATCAAAGACAAGACTGGTCGTTGGGGATTTCTGAAAAAAATGTCTATGGGTAAAATTAAAGCTGATCCAAATTCTGCAGTAGCTCTGCGATCTACTATTGCACATGACGAAGAAGCTAGTCATCCCCCGGCTGAGATGCACCATAGTACTTCACCCTATAGTACTTCACCCCACATCGAAGTTCGGTTCTCCACCACAGGTAGTCTAGGACGTATGGTGAATAGCGCTTCCCCTATGAACCTACCAACTGGTTTGGAGCGGAGGACTGAATCAATCCCCAGGCAATCAATCCCTCTTCCCGTCGATCCACAGCCTATGAATAGCATGCCGAAAAGGAGGAGTTTTTTGCCTGTTGACGGCTCCGTCGATATACCTATGGCTTCGATATTTGACCATTCCAGGAATGCCTCCGTTGATGATGATGTTTATCGCAAAAAAGGAAAGGATGGAGCATCATATACCAGAGCTTTGCGCTCAATCATGGCATATCTCAAAGATATGAATGATTTAGGCTTGTCTCCAAAGAGTAATTCGAGCGTATCACGATCGTTATCCGATCTAAAGCTAGATAGGAACATGTCATCACGACATAGCTCCGCTGTCGATAACAGAACCGACCTGGAAGGATCCAACCATGCAACCGCTGAGAGTGGTATTGGTCAGTTACGACCCGTGGATTCTATGGCCTTGCTACATGATGGTTATCATACTCTGAGTATAGTCACTACGGATAGCGGCGGCTCACTGGGTGAGCGGAAATATAAGGATGACAAAAACAAACGATGGAGTATTGTTCGTGAAATAATAGAGTGCGTGGGTAGTCTACACTTCACCGGACCCTTGACTCATTCATGTACAGGACGGAAAGGACATATGTGAAAGGTCTTCAAGAGCTTGTTGATATCTACATCAAACCTAGCACTGGCCCAGCCAATTTAATAAGTGGTGTTGGATCTAGCAAGGAGACCATGATACCTGCCGTGGAGCGCAAAATTGTATTTAGCGGTATAGAAGCCTTATTCTCCTTTCACAAAGAGAATTTTCTTCCTGCACTAGAGATGGCTAGCGCTCCAGTCATGGAATCAGAGCATGGGTCAGATTCAGATATCAATGGACAATTATCGATAGGTGTTGCTAAAGCGGTGGCTGGAATATTTCTCAAACATGCAGCTTTTATGAAGATGTATTCGACTTACATCAAGTTGGTATTGATTATTTTTGCTATACATGTTATAATGCTGATCTTCGCATCGTAGTAATTGTGACAACTCTGCCCAGCGGATCAGATACTGGACGGCTGAACGTCTAGCTACAGGTGCCACCAGTTCACCTTATCCTATGTCATCTAACACTCATTTTTCGGTTTTGCAATAGTAATTCCAACCTCCTTCGTTTCAGCTCAGGGAATTATGTCAGACACTCCTGCTTCTAGTAATACCACTTTAACTACCAGTCAACGGAAACGAATCAAATCGTTTTTAAAGCGGTGCCGTATCAATCCCAGGCATTCACAGCTTAACTTGGAAGGTTATCTACTTTTGCCTGTCCAGCGCATACCCCGTTACCGCTTATTAGTGAGTACTATGATCTTGTTTTGAGAATGATTGAAAAGAGCTTCAACTAGTTAGAAGAACTACTACGCAGCACCCCTCCTTCCTACTCGTTGATGGATGATTCGTTGGACAGAGCTGTCGCAGAGATATCGTCCTTAGCTAATAATATGAACGAAGGAAAACGAGAGTCCGAGTCCCGTCGCAAACTTGTGCACTGGCAGGCCAGAATACGAGGCAGGTTTCCAAGTCCCTTAGTGCAGCCTCATAGGTATGTCATGAATGGGCCTCCCTTTTCGAAGCCTGATTCATTCTTCTTCACGAGGCGCCTTATCATGGATGGCCCTCTTCTTTTGACTCGGGTTGTACGCAAAACAGTCGTATCATTTGAAATTATCAATGCCCAGGGTGATGCATCTACGGTTCAAGTAGATTGTCTCGCACCAGAATTAACTCCTCGTTCTCTCATTGGTATACTATGCAATGACCTATTGGTATTGTGTAGGGATCCTTCAGAAGGCAACGATCCTTTATCACATGTCGATTTATGGGCTGTATTGCGCATGCAGACATTACCACAGCCTGCTAGCATTGTGCATGGCAATAGTGAGTCTCACAACATCATCAATACTACGCTCTAATCCATTCATGGTGGTGGTAAAGCCCTGCGGCTCGTCGATAACAAAGCTATATTGTACTTTGATGTTCCTAGTCCGTCCGATGCACTGAATTGGTTTACAGGTGCGGCCCTCTTTTCCTTCCCCTGTGGTAATGTACTCACTATAAGCATGAACAGCTATAAACCATCACATCCCCACATCAAAAATATAGGATTTCTTCTCATACGCCGGGCTATTCTGAGCTGGATGGCTCGGATTAACTCCACAGAAGGGACTAGTCTTCATGGAAATCTGTCCATTTTTTAATATATAGATTTATCGGCTTCCATATATACTCGATTTGTGGACCTGATTTAACCAAGTTATAGTATGTGTCTTTGTAAAAAGAAAATCCAGGACTGCAGACAGCCATTTTAGACACCTGAAATTAGTCCCCAGCCCGTTCAGGGAGAAAGAAAGTTAAAAGGTCCTGTGTATCATAACACCACCCCCCTTCTAAGGCTTGACTTCCAGGCAAAGAACTTATCTCTCTCCTTTGCCATCACTTCTATTAATGACTAGGATCTAAACTCTATTTGATGAATGATGTGACGGTACTGAAGGCATGGAGCTCTGTCTTCAATGCACTTTCTATCATCAGCAACTGGGAGACACCAGTGTATTGGGATTGTTTCTCCAAAGCAGAGTGGTATGGCGTGTTGGCAAGTGTTGGAGACTATGATGAGGCCATTCCGGAGGGTTTTCACTTGAAGTTTGACAGAGGGACTGTTGCTGCATTTAGTGGGAAGTTGATGAATCATGGGGTTGCATTCTGCAGTGGTGAAAGGATATGCATATTACATGAGGGAGTATATATATAAAATGTGCAAGGTGAAGACCCCATGTTGGTCAGTACCTTAACATGATCATATTATGCAGCTTCAAATGTGGAATGGCAGCAGAACTGTCTTAACCTGGGAACATCACTGCCATATGTTTGTAGCTATCCATAGTAGTTAAATGAAAGGGTGAAACCCTGGCACACTGTAGTTAAATACCAGGAGTGGGTAGAAACCTAGGAACACTGCAGATGAATACTAGGATTGAGTAGAAGCCTGGGAATGTTGGATTACTACATAATGGTATAATGGACCCAACCACAATGCCCGGTATTCTGCTATAATGTTCCCGGGTTTCCATTAATATCTCATATAAAACCACAATAGCATGTTGCAACAAGTTGAGAACCTAAGCGCTATTACAAAACACAATTTTTGGACTTACAGCTTTCTTTCTCAAAGTTCTCATGCACTTGTGCCGTGCAGCACTTTCCTTCTGTTCAGACTTTCACCTTCTCACGCCACACGGCTTTCTTTATTTTTAAACTACAAGTCTCTCACGCAGTGGAGCTGGTCACACGGGCTGCACCCTATGAAATCATCAGTGCTTTCATCAACTGTATAGTACATAAGTACAAACACCCTGTATTAGTATATAAACCCCAATAGATCCAGAAGACTCCTCAGCAAGTGCTCCTGTTGTTTACCCACAACTAACTTGGTCTTAACCTAAGGGGTTTCTCCACTCCTACTTTCCCTGACTCTTGCTTGTCTGAGTTGTGGGCCAGAGTATACAAACTCTTGATTGTTACATTAGGACTCGCTCTTACTACTCTGTCGCACTTTTGTGCAAACCCAGACCACAGGGTTAAGTGGACATCTTTCGAACAGTAAGACTTGTGTGCCAGTTGGGTGTTGAGCTTTTGCTAGCCCGTGGAAACCAAGCATGTACCCCAATCCTGCAGGCGAGCTCCTCAGGACGAGGGACTAGAGATTCAAAACCAAAAAATGATACACAGCCCTCAGTGTCAGGGGGAGTACTATAGCTCAACAGAGTGTGGAACCATTGTTGATTAAAATCTACATAACTTCTTCTTCAGATACCTCTGACTAGGCCAGGCACTTGCCTCCACCAGTTGGAGAAAACTTGACAGCTTAACAAGCAGGCCACCCCCTGACGATTGTTCAGACCAGGGTTTCATTACTATAACTTTTATATACTTTTTCAAATACTATAGTGTGGGTAGTTGGGGATTGAGACCCGTTACTCAGCTGGGAAGAGGTTGATCTGCAGATAGCAAGTGAGGACCCCCAGTTACATTTTTATTTATTTTACCTCACCAAATCGAACAATTTGACATGTCGTTGCAAACTACCCAACCCAATGTCAACACTCTGTTGCACAATATGTGTGCACAGATTTTGGCATTGACCATGCAGCTTAGCAAGATTCAGGCAAACCCCCCTGAGCAAGTTAAGCAAAAATTTAAAACAAAAGGTCAAAATTGTTGCTGACCCCGGCGCTTTTGAAGGAGACCGAGCTAGGTTTGCTGAATGGTGGATCAAGCTACAAATCTGGATCAAGGCAAACTGGGACATGTTTGCCGATAATTCTGAAATTGCGACAGCTGTGCTGTCAAGACTAAAGGGACCTGTAGCAGGTTAATACGCCCAAGTTAAACTCCAGCTGGTCACTGGCCTACCTGGGATGATCTCAAAGGGGAGATCAGTGTGACTGGGCGCGTCAGCAAATATCACTTCAAGGAAGGAAATATGACTCTATCACAGTCATAATTGATTTACTCACCTCCCTGGTTCACTTGGTTTCTAGCCAAACTGATTACACGGCCAAAGAAATTGCTGAGTTGGCCTTCACGGACTACCTCGAGCCGTAATTAGCAACCACAATTTGCTATTTACAAACACCTTCTGAACTCACCTCCATAGACTCATGGGAGTGGAGCAAAGGATGTCCAGTGTGTACCACCCTGAGTCAGAGCAAATTGGACTATAGGACAGATATTACGATCATGTATCAGTCCTAGTCAAAAGGATTGGGTCGCTAAAATCCCGGCAATTGAGTTTGCCATTAACTTGGCTCGGAATGAGACAACTGGATATTTACTGTTCTTCCTTAACTCTGGACGAATGCCCAGGGCTATGATATGGAATGAACCCCAAAAAGACGAGTATCCCGGAGTATGAGCCTATGCTCAAAAAGTCAAGTTAGCAATAATGACAGCTCACAACACTATCCTGGAAGCCCGGGTAAAACAAACAAGGAACATAAACCTAAAGTGGTAACTTTGCCCCTTTGTAAAGGATGACCTCATATACATATCAACTAAAAATTTAGCCCTGCCAAAGGGCCTCGCACACAAGCTGGTGCCGAAGTATGTCAGACCCTACAAAATCCTGGAAGACTATCATAATAACTCCTTTTTGATCAACTTACCACCCAGACTAAAGCAATATGCTGTTCACCCAGTCTTTCATTCATCCCTCCTCAGAATTCACTTGGCCAATGACGACCGGTTGTTTCCTGAGAGACTTAATACCCAAGTTGGCCTATTTGAAGATGTAGAATAGGAATGGGCAGTTGAAAACATTGAGTCCCATAAGGGTAGTCAGCGGAATGCAATCTTTGCAATAAGAAGGAAATCAGGGAAGATGACATGGTTGCCTTACCACCAACTAGAACCCCTGGGTATCTTAAAAGAATACCTTAGTTCTATGGGTGCTGAAACAATAGACAAACTTACTCATATGCCATTAGGACCTATTCCTCCCCACGACCCTTATTTATTAGTGGGACTTGTTGTTGTCAACACAGATTGCAAGCCTATAAAAACAATAATTCAAGGTCGTGATCTCATCACTTTCTCCCCAACTCCTCACCTTATCACTCATCTTTTACTCTTCACCCATTATCTCCTTATTGTCTCCTTATTTCTACCCGTTGTAACAAAAGTTTGTATACTCTGGCACACAACAAAAACAAGCAAAGAGTGGTGAGTAGAGGAGAGGATAATCTCCCTCAAGGTAGGACCAAGTTTGTTGTGGGTAAACAACAGGAGCACTCGCTGAGGAGTCTCCTTGATCTATTGGGGTATTTATACTACTACAGACTATTTGTACATGTGTACTATACAGTTGATGAAGGCAGTGGCTGATGATGTCATAGGGCACAGCCCGTGTGACCAGCTCCACTGCATGAGAGACTTGTAGCTAAGAATAAAAAAAGCAGTGCAGCCCAAAAAAGTGGAGTTTGAACAAAATGGAAAGTGCTGCATGGCACAGTGTGTGAAAACTATGAAAGAAAGTTAAAGTGGAGAATGAAATTTAGAGATCCAAAAATTGTGTATCGTAACACCCTTCCTCTATCTGCCAACCACCACCTTCCCCAGCATGCCCTCAGCTTACCTCTCACTCCTTTGAGGATAACTCTACCAATTCACAAGCCCAAGTAATCCCAACAACACCGCCACTCTTCACCTTGGTCAAATTGAGGCCTTCTTAGCCCATAGTCAAAACCTTTGTAGCGGACAAATGGAGGACGACTTACCTGCTCTGTTAGGGTACGCATATTTTGCATCTGTCATTAACCTGGAACCTCAGTTTGAGGCTCATATGGCTCTGATCAACCAAGAAGGAAATATTGTGTCTAGAGGACGGCAGCTGTTGCTGAGAGACCTTCTGGGAATCGATCCATGTCAGGCACAAGGTAGCAACCCCGCAAACAGGACTAGGCACAATGGATCTCGAATGTTTAACCCCCATGAATGACAGGTGGTAAAGAGTGTACCTGGACTTCACATTCAAATTGCAGAAGTACAATGCAAAGAGAAGGCAGGCTATTGCTGAGTGGAAGCATAAGAGGGAAGAAGGACCAAACCTACCTAATCCTCGGCAAGCGCCTCGCATTTATTGCACACCTCCCAAACATCATGCACGTGTTCCTCACCTTCCTCCTGCTCCTCCTGGTAGCCCCTCTATTCTTCGACTAGAAACACCTCTCTCATTCAAAAATCTACCTGCAAACATAGACAACAGGGACAGAGGTCAGCCACCACACATCACCAGTGGAAGTGACCTTACCCTGGATCCTATTCCCCTTCACTCCATCACCCTTCACACCACTATTTATTATGCTGATGATGTGGTATTTGAGGATCTTGATTTATCTGACAAAACCGGATAAACCCGGTCTCTGCCAAAGCAGCCATTGTTCTCCATGGAGCATAGCCACCACTCCATGGAGTAACCATTGTTCTCCTAGGAGTTATTATACTGTAGCGAGTAGCACCTCCGACTATAAGTAGTAGGGGGTTTAGTATAGAAATACCTCAGTTGTTTCTATAGCCTCTCGGGCAGTGGCTGAGTTTTACTTAGTTTTATTATTATTTGGGGATCCTGCAGATGCAAACAAAGAGACTTTGCCCCAAGAGAATTAATGTTGTTGACATGGTCAATGTCTGGAAGGGGGAATATAACGGTTGTGACTCAACTGTCACTTGCAGTGAACCATGTAGTAGCTTAGTTATGCCTGCTCTTAGTACTTGCTCATGCCACACTGCTTATTCCCAAAGCCGAGCCATAATCTTAAACTGTCATTACTTGCTAGTCATTTGTTCTCCTTTTATGACTTAGCTTATTCTTGTTTCATACATAAAGGACTCTCATATTGTAGAATTCCCCAGTGTATTCTGAATACACCAGTAAACCTTAAACTGTGATTTGGAGTGACTTGAGAGCTCTTTTATCTTCTTTTCTACTATGTGTGATATTCTGTGTGACCGTTGCATCCTGGGTTCAATCCCCGGATGGTCTACTTTGCTTTTATGTACTCTCTGTGGTCAGGTGGCTATGTGAGGTCATATGGCTAAATCCAATAGGCGGTCCACCACCCAAAAACAAAATTACATAATATGTTATAAAGTGTCACAGATTTAGTAGTTCATTGTGGTTTGTGACTCATAACAAAACCACCATTTATATGATTCAGTTTCATTTTTGTGACTCATGCATGAACCTATGGTTGAAATGATACAGTACACAGCAAGTAGCTATTTAGTGTGTCTTATAGTACTGCCCGCAATAACAGACCTGTAAATGCCCCCATTAAATAGTCAGGTATCTACCAGCAGGACTACAGAACATGTATGACTGTATAACTCTCCAATGACATCAAATGCCTATCCCATCAATGATCCTTTAATTTGATTTGTCATCCTCCAATGAATGCACCATCTCTGCGCTCTTGGGGGTGTTCTTTTTCTTGGCACTCCTTTTCTCAGCACCAAGTCAGCAGCCCATGACCAAGAGTTTTCACCCTGTCCAGTGACGCAAGCATATCTGCGGGGAACACCACCATCTGAACATTTTTTTCTCTTCTTTTTGACAACCTTGCCAGATTCCAATCTGTCCTTCAACTCCTTTCCATGTTTTATGGGCTGTGCTCGTGACAATATGACTCAGTGTCAACTTCCTGATTTCTATGCATCACAAAGTTTGCAAATTTCAGCAATTGTCCCGATATACGACAGATTTATGAAAGGCACACCTTCTGGCCTGTTAGTTTTGGTAATTCTGCACCTAGTTGTGCTATCTATTTTCTCTTCTTTCTAAATCAGTTTCCTTTTTATTCTTTTTGCTCTATTGTTCAGTATTCACTGAGCATTCTATAATTTCGCGTTTGTGGCTGATTTGTTTACCTTTGTTTACAAAACTTCGGACTAGTATTGCAGAGTCCAGTATTCCTATTCTTTAGTTACTCATACTGGACTCTAGTTTTGTCCCTGTTAGCTCTCAGCAAGTGGCTAGACACTTCCCAGAAGTTTTCAATTGGACATGGCCAGCCAATGATCTTCATGCTATGCATCAAAACAATGGCAGTCTTGTAGTTTTTGTACTCCATCTTAATTTTGTGCTCAAGGGTCTGCAATATTTATAGACATTCAACTGGCCAGATTAAAGACAATACTTGATAACACTTGCTAAGACCACTTTTATAGAATTGAGTGTACTGGCAACACCAGTTTAAAAATATTGTTGTCCTCAGATATGCTGAGGAGTAGCTGACTTACTCTGATTATTTGCACATGTCCACTGCTCTATTAACCGTGCCAATCACTGGCTTATTTGAGCCCAGCTAATATGCTGAAAACATTCAATTTTAGCTCTTTCTAGCCAATCAGAACCCAGAATTCTCATATTTTCAGGATATTTTCAGGATATAAGCTGGGCTTAAATAAGCCAATACCCACAGTGAGTTCTTTGAGTTCCCTGCCAACAATGTCCTCCCAGAAATACATTGTGTTATCACTTCCATACAGGTTGCAGCACCAAAGTTGTTCACATGGCCACAAGTGAGGAACAAACTGCCATAAGGTCCAGTCTGCAACACAATATTATCAAGCTAAAGTACATCAGAAATGAAATAATGTGAACTACTAATGCACTTTCCTCTTTACCAATTCTATCTGCTGTACATTAGAAGTCCCAAACCGCTGCAGAGTTGTTTGCACAGAAGCCTGTGGCTTTAATATTGCAGTGCTGAAGAAGATGCTTCTGTCTCTCCAGAAGGAAGATCTACAGATATGGCATGTAAGCAATAAGGAATACCTACATGGAGTTGTACTCACCATAATTTATCTCCAACACTTTGGTGTGAACAAGTACATTGAAGATATTGGGGGCCTGACTCTTCTTCACAACATTATGGAACCCAGCTAGGGCCTTGATCCATGTGTTAGTATTGCCAACCAGACCCCACAAGTCATCCACAAGCCGTGCTTTAACCAGACATTTCCTTTCAGAAACCAGCTGATGAGAAGCTTTTTTTGGCTTTTGTGAGCTTATTTTTATAAATATCAAAGATACAAACCACTATTTCACTAATACAGACTACATAATTGATTAATGCTTTATGATTCATTAGATTAATCCAGAATTTGAGGGAAATATAGATACTTCTCCCCTTGGTCAGAATTTTGCCTACTACTGCGCTATAAGAGCTATAAATGCTATGATTGCACTAATAGTACTATAGTTTCTATGAATGCATTTTTATATATAGGTGGTGGCTATATAGCGCTATATAGTAAAAGGGTTTTTCCTGATGAAACAGAGCCCTTATCTGAGGTGGATGGTCACTAGCCTGTTCCTTGTGCTGTGTACTGGGTTGCTCGCTGCTAGCTAGATCTGTTGTACTGAGCTGGTTTGAACCATTAGTTTCTGTTGTAGATGTCTGAATGCCATGTTGTTGTGATGAAGCTATCACTGTTAATAAGCTGGGGTGTTCGAGATGATTCTGGCTTGCCGTCCACTGGGCTGAGATTGCTTCAGTACATTATTCAACACCATCTGTTACAATTAACATACCAGCACCTACTTACGCTTCACTTTTGTACTTCTACTTTTATTTTCCAAGTCACATAACCAGTCATGTGACCATTTACTTTACTTTACATTTTCAACTTTTCATAGTCACATGACCAGTGTCTAGACTCATCATGTGACTGGTCACATGCTAGACATCGGACTTTGAACTTTATTTACAACTGTACAGTACCTCATGTATTTTAGTATATATACAAGAGCAATACATGGGGAAGGACTCAGCGAGTCCTCCTGTTGTCTAGCACAACTAACTCACTGCAGCCTAAGGGGTAACCACTCCCCATCATCTTCTTTATAGTGTGTTCCTGTGTGTGCCGGAGTAAATAACTCTTGGTTGTTACACCATCTCTAATAAGCTCTGATGTTTTTCACTGTTCAGCAGGAAGTTGTTTTCCATAACCACTGTCTGTAAAGACTTGAAACTCCTTTGCTACGTGACACATGATTTTGAGGTCCTCAGGATCTGGGTAGAACAAAACATCAGGATTAGGCAGCTTAGTAATCAGGTTTTCTGGGTAGTAAAACAGGGGAGGGAAAGGGGCACATGAGTTGCTAGTGGGGATTTGGAACTGACTGAGTATATGGGTTGTAGTCAAATCACGATGGATACCTGCTCTGGCTGGGGTCTGGTCCAGATCAGCAAAAACTGAATGATTATTCACAAGTGGTTAAAAATAATGCTACCAAAGAATATCTCTACTTGGCATTATATATTCATATTGTAGTACGTAATAAAAGGGCCATATTACAATGTCTTTTGGGCTGCTAATGTAGATGTGAAAAAAAATAAGCAAAGGCAAGAGAGCCTGATTTGATGACTAATTTCAGTTGTTTGATACCATGAAACCATGACTAGGCCAGGGCACATATTTTCAGATATTCAGTTCTGTTAGGGGGTGTCACCTTTTATAATTATGCTCCAAAACCATGGCAATGCAGTATTGTAAATTCTAGTTGCATCAAGACTCATGCGCTGGGTACTTGTCTTGCTTGAGATTTTGATGTTTTTATAATATTTATGCCTGGCCTTTGATTTTGCAAGTGCCTTTTCCCCTAAGTTAGAGGGTAACACCTAGCTTCTCCTCTCAATAGGCTCATCATTGTAACAACCAAAGTTGGTATACTCTGGTGCACAACTACAACAAGCAAGGAGGGTGCAGGAAGGAGTGGATAAACTCTCTTATGGTAGGACCAAGTTAGTTAGTTGTGGGTGAACAACAGGAGGATTCACTGAGGGGTCTCCTTGATCTATCAGCCGGTATTGAGTTTACTGGCCAGCGGTTGATGAGAACTTTTAGCCATGGCACAGCACAGACAGGATTTTATGTATTCCTGTATGTCTTTGATTATGCCAGGCTACATGTAATTTCTGGAGATCAACTCCATGTTTTGCTGCCACACAGGGTGCCCAGCCACTAATGTGTCATGATGTCTATCTATTGCCTTGATCCTTGCGGACTCAGACACATAGATTTTGTCTTTGTAATAAAAGAGCCCGTTTTTCCATAATTAATGTCTATGCCATCAAGGTGCGCCTTTTTTTCTGACACAGCAAGCATAACCAACTTTTGTCATACTCATAATTGATGGAAAAGTCTGAAAGTAGTTAAAATATTAATTGTATCTTGGACCTACAAAATGATATCTTTTTGTTGACATATTTCCATATATTTTGTGTGGATATGTAGAAATATGTTAACAAAAATACATTATTCTGATAAAGTCTTGTAGGTCCAGAATGCAATATTATATTTTAACTACTTTCAGACTTTTTCATTGATTTTGGGTGTGACAAAAGTCGGTTATGCTTGCTGTGTGATGAGACGTTATTCTTGAAGGCTTCTAGAAGGTCATGATCTTGCCCAATTCAAACATTGGCAACCCTGTATTAATCTATCAGGGTGACACCTTTTTTGTTATCTTTGATGCCATTGGCATAATATTTTCTTCTAGATAAAGCATCCACTTTTCCCATAGGAGTCCCAGGCTGATGAATTAATTTATAATTAAACCTAGATAAATACACTGCAAGTCAGTTTCTAGCTGGAACTCTTTGTCTAGTTCTGAAAACACTAATATGGGAGCTGTTGTTAATGCTTATTTAAGCTTATCAAAAACTTCTTGTTCTTCGGGGCCCCAATACCACAGAATGTGCTTTTTAGTGAGATTGTTCAATGGTTTAGTGCTTTTTGCAAAGTTTTTGACAAATCTCCAGTAGATATTGCCCAAGCAAAGGAATGCCCTAACACAGCAAGCATAACCGACTTGTGTTGCACCCAAAATTAATTAAAATTTTAGAAAGTAGTTAAAATATTTAATTGTATTTTGGACCTACAGAATAATGTATTTTTATTGACATATTTCCATTGATACTATATTTTTTGTGGAAATATAGAAGTATGTTAACAAAGATACATTATTCTGACAAGATCTTATAGATCCAAGATACATTTAATCATTTTAACTACTTTCAGACTTTTTCACCAATTTTGGGTGTGACAAAAGTAGGTTATGCTTGCTGTATAACTCCTTTAAAGCAAGTAGGTTTCAGCCATTCCAAAATAGCTTGGACTTTCTCAGGGTCCATCCTAGGTCTGTTCTGGCCAATTATCATACCAAGGAAGTTTACTTCTTTTACTTTAAAATTACATTTTTCGGGTTTGACAAATAGGTCCTGTTCCTGTAAGCATCAAAGGACTTTGTGCATGATCCTGTCATGCTCATGCTTATCATCTGACTTTGTAAATATTAACAAATTGTCTATATGTGTGATGACATAGTTTTTTTGCTGATAATGGCGGAATACAGACGTCTGCGTAGTCCTGGCAAGGGCGCGCCTGCTTCACCAGAAAAGAAGAGAAGTCAGTTAAGTAACACAGGGTTGGTGGTATATCTGCAAAGATTTCATTCATATGAGCATACAGAAGCATCAACATATGGATAATTGTTGGCATTAGCCATTTCCAACAAGTGTTGCTACTCATATACAAATAATAGATATTCAGTTGATGTTTTCTCACTGTCTTCTATTAAATCATGTAATTACAATGTAGATAGCTAAAGTCTTGTTACACCAGCAACAACTACCTATAGTAACCGATACTATGGTCAGAAACTTTGTCGTGATCTTCAAGATCCTATAATTAGAGGTCAATAGTTTTTCTCTCTGTTTATTTGTGAAAAGAACAGCTCACCAAAGGAATTTCCTGTGATGGTAGAGAGGAATGCAAAGGACATGCTTGAAATTGGCAGAAAATTTCTGCACTATCTGGGATGTGTAAAGCCCACTGACACAAATATTGTCATGCTGAAATCATCCATTCTTAAGCAGGCTTTTCAGCTTCTGAAAGTCTCTTGTATATTTGTAAAGTTGCTGGAAGTTTGTTGGACATCTGCTTCAGCTTGCCGAGCCGCAGATGCCTTTTTCTGCACTAAGAAAATATTACTCTTAGTTTCCTTGGATTAGAGCATGTAAAATAAAATTACCATTGCCTAGATTTACTTTCATAAAGACCTTGGTACCAAATTCTCTTAGATTGTCAAAATGTGGCTTTTTGTTATGTGTCATTTAGTACAGTATCTCGTTTTTTAGAGATCTGGTAGTTGGCCTATTTGTAAGCCAGTTTGCATGCATAATAGCTTTACTCCATAAAAACCTTAGGAATTTAGCACTTCAGGCAACCAAAATTTTGGGGCTCTTAGCTTGATCATAATCTCCAAACCAACAGGGCTAGTAACCCCCTGGAGCATGGTCTACCACGTCCTTTGGGACAACTACATGGGACATCCAAAAAGCCTAATAGGACATCCCATTGGACCATGTAGGATATCCCAATGGGACATCTGGTATGGTCCAATGGTTCAATTTTCAGTGGGACATCGACATCTGGGATGGATCATTGGACCAATTGTCTTTGGGATATCCCATTAATCATAGAGGTGTTTGGGGTCCATACAACAAAATTCTTCAGAATATACAAAATACAAAAGTATTTAAAATACAAATAAAGTATAGGATTTGCTTATACTTTAATTGTATATATAATTTATATCAGATAAATGATCATCTTGGCATTAAGATGTAGAAATAGATAACATGCATGTTGTAGGTGGCAGTCAAACATAGCAAACACATCCATAGAGGGTTTCTGAATGAAATCATTATGTTTGGTTTTATATGGTGAATATCACTACAGCCTTCTTACAAGTTATGATTGAGAATATAAAATGTAAGTACAGTAACCTATTGATGTGTCTAATAGAGTGACAGAATGGGTAATAAGGTACAAAAAGGTACAAGGTAAAATTTAGAAGGTGGTGCCAAATATGACAGAAAACAAAGTATGCAATAAGAGAAGAAATAATATAAGAAAAGTGTAGCCAGAAAAGGCAAAATGTACATTGCAGAAAATGGTTTGTGCCACTATTCTAACATATAAGGAAACATATGTTATGGCTTTCACATAAATTAAACATGCTGGGAAATAGGGCCAAACTAATTATTTTTTCAATGTAGAATATATTTTTGTGTGAGAGACAGAGGGACCATCTTGTAAGATTTAGGTGAGGGCTGTGAGCCTACTAAAGAACCTGAAACAAGGATATGAACCCAGTAGGGACTATACTCCATAATTGGACTTGGGCTAAAGTCTGCCCTGGGACATGGTAGGGTCTAAAGAAAAAATAAAGGAAAAGGGGGTGGACAGGTCAGAACAAAAACAGGATATGCCAAAGACCATAATAGGCATCCAGAAAAATAGTGGAGGTGGATCTGCTTGATGCTAATGAGTCAAGGTTGGAGGCTGTTGGAATATTCAAGGAAACATACAAATGGATATATTTCAGCCTTTGGTATTCATTAAATTGCTGAGGTTGCTCTTGTTATATTATGGAATGATTAGAATCACAGTCTCTGGTGCTATGCCTACAACTTATGCTTTACAGGCAAGCTTTGTTCAATGAACTCCTTTTCTGGCTTTTTGTTTACACACACATTTTGATACATTTCTGGCAACCACAGGAGTATAAATCTGAAGACATTGCTCCTATTATCTGTTGGCTTTCATGTTGAGGCTTTTATTTTGTACTGGTTCTTTTAAGTAAAACATTTATCTCAAATATCTGTTGTGGACATAAATACTGACCTTGTCTCTGTTTCTGCCTACATGTATAAATCACATTGAGTTGATTTCCTTTTAGAGCTACCCTTTTTGTACTGGCCATCTTGTATCTGTACCCCAGTATTTTAGTCAATGTCAGCCATCATTTTATTATTATTTTTATTGTTGTTAGTTTGCCAAATTTTCACCAACTTTCTTTTAGTTCCCCACATTCATACTGAACTAAATGCAACCCAACAGTATTGCTAAAATATCCCATGGTTTAACTAACTTGGATGTCCCATGGTCTAAGTTGTATATCCTAATAATACCAGCTCTATGTCCTGTGGTCTAACTGGGAAAAGTAAAAAAATACTTAGGTGGCTTGAGGCGCTTGAGGTATTGGGCAGATTGGGGACTCCGAAAAGTTGAAGTCCTAACACCAATTTTGACGTGCGTCTCTTCAGTGCCATTAATACCATTTTGTAACGTATGATTAGTACGATTTTTTTAGAGTGAGTGATTAAATGAAAAGATACATTTCTTTCATCAGCGATGGTGTAAATCGATTACAAAGCTGAAAGCTCACTATAGAATTCTAAAGGCCTATCTCCGAACATGACCAATCAAATGCAATTAATATGATTGGCTGGAGGTAAGCAATGACTCATCCGCAGTAGAAGGCGCCATAATCACGCCATAAGGCGTTGACCAATCACGTATATATCTCAAGTCACGTGCATAGACACATGACATTCCTTCTCGAACATTCCATAAGCGCGCGCCTATTCGGTCACGTGCCATGGTCCGGGGGTACCGGGCACTAAAGTATTGACGCTCGGCCTTATTTGCCGGGTGTGCTTTAACGCTTATTCTTGATCTGCGGTCATCTGATTAGATCTAGACCTTATCTTATCTACCGGTCCGGTTTACATAGGCGCCGGGGGTAGATAACCGTTCGGGTATCTTGATTTCGCTTGTCCTTAATTTGCCAGGGGACAGTATTGTCTTCGCCCCTGAACTAAAATCAAAATCCATATCCGAAACTATGAATACCATATGCCTTATCGCCAGACACCTGCCTTCCCTTTTTGGGACTGGTTAGGAGTTGCTCCGATCATTAAAAAACAACCGAGGTGGGTAACTCCACACTTAGCCGCCGGCCCAAAGAGCCGGTGGGACATTCCAGGTGAGCCCCTACTAAGTTGGGCGAGGATAGCGAGTTTGCATTATGTAAACTAGTCGACTTTATCAGTCACTTGGCAGCCTGACGCCACCATCCTTTCAAGAGTACGCAGGCATTTATCCGCTTTCACCAGAAACGTTGGGCCCCCCTAGAGGGTCGTTTAAGGTTAGGCCGATAATAGATCGGGTTCTTACGCCAATCTTTGCGTGATTTGGTCGGTTAGATAAGGTTAGAGTTGGTTAGGTTCTCTAATCAGACTTTATCAGGTCATTGTTCCAAGAATAGACTTAGCGTGACAACGTACGGTTAGGTTAGTGTGAGATCACATAATCCGGTCTGAATATATAACATTTCAAATGCAGCGGATCATCTGCGGGTTTTCTTCATCAGTAATATATCGTGAATACTTCGAACATCAAAAATAGTGTGTACCTGCAAGCACATATGTACATGCGTAAACATTTTATCATAGGTTTATTTGGGGTTAATTCCGCGTACACCGTTCAAAGGTCCCTCTCAGGATCCTTTACGTTATCGTCTAATTCTGTGGATAGAATTTAGAATCTATACTCAATTCAGAACAAGTATCGTTCCCTTACGGGGTTGTTCCTACAAGCGTTCTGCGTCTAAAGATAGCAACATCACCAGTAGCCGGGGGGCGTGGAGATAATAACGGACGTGGGATATATTCTTTTTAGTTTAATCCCAGCCGATCTCCATGCTTTTGAAAGGTTTCACTATTTGGTCTTCGACCGTATAGCTATCCCAATCTACCGGTGCTTTAAGCTCTGGTTTATCGCAATCAAGTAAGGCACGTTTCCAATGGTTCACTCGCTTAAAAAGATTATCAGTAACCTTTCTTGACACAAGCCAACGGGAAGCGTTTGCAAATTTGAGTTTCCGCACATCCGCAATGACCCGACGGTCAGAGGATGACAGTGCAGAGGGCCCAGACGCCGCAAGGGGGGGGCCACCCACTGGCAGAAGCAAGGAGTCCATTGGATCAGAAGCCGAAGCCTCCGACCCACCGGACTCAACCTGCTCTATGCGGGGACGGTCTTCACCGAGACGGACTAACACCGAGTCATGCACCACCACGTCATCGCGACCGGGTCAGTGCACGAACATGGGGAAACCTGGCGACGGTACGTCACCAGCCGTGAATTTTCTACAATATTCACGCCAATAGCCTACAATGCCTTCTTGCAGTTCTTTAGCGTCAAAATAATTCCAAACGGGGTTTAGTTGGCTTTTCAGGACTATAAGCGGGTCCATCGCCGCATCGTCATCTTCCCGGACTAATAGCCGGTTTATCCAACGCTTATTCAATTCTTCCGAATTAAGCCATTTCTTTAACTCTCCGTCAGGGTAGCCACGTGCAACATACAGTTGATAGAGTCCTTGCATGCTCTCCAGGAACGTATCCTTGTGAGAACAGAGGGTAGCTAGCCATGAGATTTCTCCTAGAACAGCCCCACGTTTCATGTCTAGGGGGTGGTGGGAAATCCATGGAATTCTTTCGAGATGATTGTTCGCCTTCCTGTAAGGTTTCCATCGGATTCCGCCGATAGAGTCTAAGTATATTTGCATATCTAAAAATACTTGAGACATAGAAGGGTACTCCCAATCAATCACACAGTCTTCAAACTTTAACGTTTGTACGAGTCGAAGAGCTT